CCCCCCCGCACAAAAATGCGCTGGGCCCGCCCGGCATTGAACCGGGGGACCCAACCGGCCGGGCCGCCCAGGACCCCTGCCAGGCGGCCCGGAATTTAACACAGCTTTGCAAAAAAGAATTCGAAAAAGTAAAAAATCCCGAGTTTTGCAAGTTCAGTAGGTCTCCAAACCTCCCTTGAAGTGCGAAAGTATTAATGAGAAAATTTTTTGAACTTCAGATTGCCAATGACTACCAGATAGTGAAAGTCATAGAACTGCGAAAAGAAAAAAAAAATTCCGAAAAGAAATAACGAGTATTCGGATGTACTCAGATGAGAGTATTCGCAGTTTGGAAAATGGTACTGCAAGAGGGATTTCCCGTACCGCTTTCAGAAAAACATTTCGGAAAAAATATTCCGAGTTTCCAAATAACGGGAAATGCAACAGGAAATCGAAATTTTTAAGAAAAGATGTTCCGGATTTCCAACAATGAAATTTCGGATTTTCAGAAGAAAAACCAAGCAGAATTTCAGATGTTGCGCTATTGCGATTTTCCACAGCAGAAATAGCGAGAAAACGAAATCCAAGAGAAGAAAAAAATTTTGATTTTTGGCAGTGAGGTCAAAATCGTGATTTTGGGGGCTAACTAGTGTGCTCTAATCAATCAATCAAGACTAATCAGCTACGTAGTCCCCGCACACGTGTCAGATCAGGTTGTCCTGATTCATGTGCGGTTCTCCGATACCAACTGTTACATGCCCAGTTGGGCGATGCACATATAAACCGAGGGACTGAATGGACAATGCAGTGCCGGTGGAATCTCAACAAGCAATGTGCATTCCGATACATACAAAAATGGTGTTTTATAGCGCAGTGGAAGATTTAGATACAAGTCATGACCTGACCGGGACTGACCTCGTTCATGTAGTACAAGATAGCAAAGCAGAATGCTAGAATACTAATGACTAGCCCAATCGATGTTTCGACGCAGACCAACATACATCATGCTCATCACAAGGTGGGAAAGGGCCTGGCGCTAACACAAGAAAGATGCGCCGGGTCCAGACATACACAGACGAAGAGGAGGGGATCAGACGAAGAAGAGGAAGGGGGAGATGGGAAAGTCGTCAACACCAAGTCTCGTTACCAGTCCCAAATAATCCTTCTTCAAAATGTCTGAAGTCCCATGTCGAGTCTGGATCCAATGTCACCAAGCTCTCTCTCTCTCTCTCTCGCTCGTAGTCTGCTGATGCAGTGAAGTCAGATAGCGAGAGGGTGAGAAGAAGATGGACTGAGAAGAGGAAGAAGAATAACTCTCTCCCTCATATGTGCCAGGTACTGACCTGTGAAGATGGCACTGTGCTGCAGGTACCTCGAAGACGAAGCTGGAGCAACAGCGCTGCAGGTAAGTATCCCTGGCCTCCGCCCAATCTCTCTCTCTCTAGCACTACGCTAGCTATGGCGCCCAGCACTGAAGACTACAACTAACGCTGCTACTACTCCTGCAGCGCTCCTCCAGAGTGCTGCTGCCAAATCCTGTAGACTACTGACTGCCTCCTGCCTACCCGTGAAGTGCATGGGAAGTCCCTATGTACTACCTCAGCCTGCCTCCTGACCGCCTCCGACTGCCTGCAGTTGCAGGGCGGGCAGTCCAGGAGGCTTTTCTTGCCAATGCCAAGCTGAGCCAGGGGCTGGTGCTGCAGCTGTCGTGGGAACAGGCCAAAAATAGCCTGTTCCTAAAACCCTGGTTCGGTGCCTGAGTTTCAGGGCAGGTCGGTCTGATGACAGACCGAAAATGGCCCTTTGTTTCAGGCTAAAAAGGCTACTGCCATTTTTAGTCTGAAACGACACAGGGTCTGTAGGCCCCTGTTTTTCAGGCTTTCGAGCTGAACAGACACGGAGCCTGTAGGCCCTGGTTTTCAGGCTTTCAGCCTGAGGGACGCAGGGCCTGGAAAATGGCCCTCGTGTGCAGGCGCAGGATGTAACACCTACCCAAAACAACTCCAGTGGCAACACAGACTCCATGATTACCCCTACTGCCTATCCTTATCGATGTACCAAAAAAGTCAAAACAAAAAAGGTAAAAGATGAAATAAAGGAAAACACAATTATTCATAAAGGGAAGGATGAAAAAGGTAAAACCGTAAAACCGTTTTAAGAGCTTAGACAAACAAAATACTTTTCCGTGTATCTGCCTTCCCTCAGCGGCTTTTAAGTACCCATGGCACTCGCTGTCTGTGGTAGGGCCACTGCACACACTTGGCATCAGAGAATCAGCCAGCAACGTGCCGCTGATCAGGACACGAAGAGGGATTTCAGATGCACTTTGAGGTGAATCCCTGCTACAGTGTTCAGTGGACATAGGGGAGCAGCTGTCTGTCAGCTCACCCAATGAACTATGCCCAGTACGCTACGCTCAAATAAACTATGCCACTTAACTGTGTCTAGGAAGCTATACCCAAGAAGCTATACCTAAAAAGCTATGTCCAGTACACTATGCTCAAGTAAATTATGTCTGCGAACTCTGACCAGCAAATTATTCCCACTACACTTTGATCAGGAAAATATGGCCAGTCAGATCTTCTCAGGGAAACTATTCCAGTAAACTATCCCCATTAAACTATAGTTACGATACCCACTTTGACCAGGAAAATATGCCCAGTCAGCTCTTCTCAGAGAAGAGCTTCTCTGTAAAGTATGCTCAAGTTGGTTCCCTGCCAAGCTTGTAATGACTTGACTCTGATTTGATGATGCAGGAGCCACACAGCCAACAATTGCTTTTCTACAGCTTTTGCACCTGGACCATCCCCTCTGATTAAACCACTAGACGCACCTGAATAGAACGCCTGGTCATTATAGGTGTAAGTGGACGTAAATACAAGGATAACGACGAGGTGTCCTGTGCAGGGGAAGACGGTAGTACAGCGCGGACTTCAATTGTTCGAACCTGTTTTAAGTTTTAACGCCGGCGCCGGCTTTCCCAGCGTGAATGGTCGGGCCCACCAGGTCGCAGCGAGGACCGGCAACCATATGCTTTCCGTTTACAGCAACTTTATGCTACACTGTTGAATCTGTTTCATGGCCGAAACGTTCTCCTTCTTTTCCTGGATATATTTTTTGCTGACACTGCAGAACATATCCTACATCCCTGATTTCTTTTCCTATGTTTCCTCGAAGGATGACTTCACAGTTAACAAAGTTGGGGCACTCAAAATTTTGTTGCCCCTGCCAGTACCACCCTTGCACCTGGTAGCCTAACCAGCCTGTGGCGTCTGCATCTCCCAGCAATGCACACGCGATTTAACCCATCCCTCCCTCCCCGCCCTCCCTTGCTCCCTCTCCCCCCTGCGTGATGCATCTGACCCATGACCGCAACGATGCCATCCATAAACCACCAGTGCTTCTGAGCCTCTTTTCCCCATGCCAATTTCTGCCACAAGACGGGTTTTGCCAAACCAGTGTGGGCGTGAAATGAAATCTGTTTGGATGGCGCTTCCATCCTTTCCCTTCCGGTAGGCTGAGCCCTGAAACACATGGCAAGTTAACTGCCGAGTCGAAACAAAATAGCTGGGAAAGGTATCGGGTGGTTTAAGATGCAAATTTGTAAAACACAAAAATTTGACCCTGCGGCATAACCAGGTCACGCCAGGACTTGACGAGAAAGAAAATAGAATTCACTAATATGGCAACAACCAGATTGGCTTCATCATGTACTCACCATATCATGACGATCGATGTCAGCACCCCATGGGCCTTTATCATAGTCATACTCGTGATGGGGGCTTGAGCCGTCCAGAGGAGGCCCACTCTCTTTCTTCCAGTTTTTAACAACCTGCTTAGCACTGCTCACAATTGCACACGTCTTGAAATTGAATTGATAATCCTCCTGCTAGGCATGCCATGATCCAAGAGACATGAAGATTGCTGAAATCTGGGCCATGATGGCCATCATTATAATTTAACCAAGCTCCCTAAGATACTACGGAGGAGGAATTCAATGTAGTTTCGTGGCATTCGCAAAGCTTGCCTTTGCAGAGCAACTCTGAAAATTTCCACGTATAAAACTTTTGGCTCCATAAAGAAACAGCAGTCTCACTAATTTTAAGTTTTTTATTTTCTTTTTCTGTTTCGAACAGAAAAGAACGAGGTCTCTACAATGCTGTTTCGAAAGGTTTCTGAGGCAGGGTGGATTCATTTAAAGATCGCCTCATTTTCTTGTTGTGCACATAGAAAAAGGCCCACTTTTCCTCAGCGACCTCCAAAACAGCACTGTTCCCAGCCCGTCAGGGTTGCGCTTTCCCCCCCTGAGGCATTTCAACGTCAATCAAATTCAATGTCGGTTGTCGTCGGGAGGGTGGGCATTTTGAGGTTTTGGGGCCTTTCAAGGGCCAGCACCGCGTAGGACCAGTAGCTGCCCGTAGGAGGCCGAGGAGGCCGCGGTCCTTGAGCCTTTTTCGAAATTGAAAAGGTGTGGGTGCACTTTTCTCAGATAGCAGAGTGCCTCGAATAGAGAACGTACACGTATTCGAATACAACGTGTACGCTTTCTATTCGGATTTCGAAAAGAAAAAAACTCTTGTATTCCAATAAAATTACTACTTTTTTTTTGGAGGTCAGCACCTGCCCTTGTGCT